ACCATAGACTTTGCATGTAAACCTGCTGCTCCTGACGCTGAAATCGCGTTTGGTGTGAACGCACCATAAGTGTATAGCAGCAGAAATGAAGAATAATTCTGGAAAACTAAGTCTAACTATAGGATTTATCAAAAATGTACAGGGCAGTCTCATGGATTTATTTATTTATTTTTTATTTATTTATTTATTTAATGTGTCAGAGCCTGTAGGGCATAAAAAACAATAAATCAAGTTTAAAAATGTGTTTTCTTCCAGCAGCAAGTTTTTCCAGCACCTCATTCAGATGTTAGTTCATAAATCTTTACATCTCCATCATATTCCACGTTACGTTCTTGTTCCAGCAGAAACATTAGATTCCTGACAGAGATAAACCCTGGGTGGTCCAAACGGGCTGCAGCAAAGCRGCTGGTGTTTTTTCTTTGAAGTTTCCGCAGACTTTCATGGAAAGWGGTGTGTGGTGTGATGCTGATGGAAATGTTCAGGTTTATAACACAGTTACTGTACATGAAGGTAAATGTTGGAGACTGGAGCTTAGAAGACAGAAACCCATTTAATTTGAGCTCTTCAGAATATCTCATCAGTCCTGTTGTATGTAACAAAAAAATATACACCAGGTCACATTAGTCATAATTACAGGTGCACGACTGCAGCTTTCTGTCCAATCACGATCTTTAACAAGTCTGACCTGCTGATATTTTATTGATAAACACTGAACAATGCCCTTGAAACAATACTAGACATTAGTTAGAGCTCACTGCAGAGCAAAATAGGACAGTGGCTGATCTGTGGAGGGAGATGAGATCAACTTCTCATGTACAGTAAGTATCAGCTGATCACCAGTCGATTGGCCAGCCAGTTTCTCCACTTTTACACAGAAGCACTATTTAAATGATTRGTTTAACAGATGATGTTTGAAACGTTGTTTGTGTTAAAGATGAGAGAAGCAGAGGTTGATGAGTCATCTGTGCTCACTGTACAGAAGAAAAAACGAATCCAGCTCATGAATCTGATGGGGTCCAGTGTTGTCTCAGTGCAGGCAGGTCCAGAACAGACCCTCTCAGAGCAGACCTGAACCMGTTGGGATGCCACAGTGAGGGACCCCGGAGACGTTTGTATGTTAGACGTAATATTTTAAATTCTATTCTGAATTTGACAGGGAGCCAGTGGAGAGAAGCTAAAACTGGAGAAATATGATCTCTCCTTCCAACTCTCATTAAAACTCCAGCAGCAGCATTTTGGATTAACTGAAGACCTCTTAAAGCAGTTTTAAATAAAGAATAGACTATTGAGATCACTTTTTCTTCCATACATTTATCAACATGGATCTCGTTCTGCAATTTTTGTGCTATTTCAACAATTTATACATCAAAAATGTTCATCTCCTCCAGGACATTACTGCTATGACTTTTGGTATTTCAGCTATTTTTACTTTTTAAGATATTTATCTTTTTCTGCCATTTTTGTCTTATTGAAACTGAATGAAGCTGCTTTCAACATCATTAAAACTTTTTAAAAGGTTCATAAATTTTTACTTCGGACCTTTTGTTCTGGTTCTGCTCTTTTTAACGTCTTTCTGCTCATTTCAGCTTCCTTCAGCTTCTACTTTGTTGACTTTATCTTTTTATAGTTGTTTATCTATCATTCTGACCTATTCTTCTGGTAATTTAAACATTTTTGCTTCTTTCAGCTTCTTTTTGCTAATCAGTGTGCATTGCCAATGCAATGCACACTATTGTGATTCATTTCCCATCCAAGTCATCTCCACTTTGGCACGCTTCTCCTCCTGCATACTTTGTCCTAGAGCTGCCATTGTAATTTATATCMGTAAAGTCCCTGTGCCAAATGATGGCTATGCCTTTTGGTGCCTGTAAAACTTAATACTTTTTGAAATATTAATGTTTAAAATCAAATAATGCCAGTCAATGGAGCCTTGTATTGGTCCATTACTGTCCCTTGCTGTATATGCTCAGTACTGAACCATAGTTTAATAATATTTAAATTCAGTAGTTCAGTGATTACAGTACTAACATGATTGTATTTTAATGTTTTACTAAAATATTGTCCTAATATTACTGTATTGTTGTAACATTATGCAGTTCTGTGTCAACAATTGCATTGGCAATTTGGCCTCTTTCTGCACACATATAAACCAACCCCTGCCACCACCTTCTACCACAGCTCCATTGGTCTAATGGTCTATGTCATGGACTRTCATGTGGGAGYTCAGGGTTCAAAACCNAGCTAATGCAACTTTAACAACAAATCTCTTCCAACTTCATATTGTCACACAATTACCTTAATTACAAACACCTGCTGARGTGACAGGCACAAGCTGGTATAGAAAACATATTTGAACTTGGTCAAAGTTCATTCTGCAAGTCCAATGCAGCAGGCAAAGCCGTGCTGCAATGACATGCTACATGGCAATGCACACTTGTTTTTACATCGTTAAAACCCATGTCTAGTTTCAGTTGCTTTCTGTGTTTTTAGCTACTTTGAGCAATTTTTAAACTAAATTCACCGTTTTGTCATGTTTTCAAGTTCTTACTGCTTACGTCAGTAAAAATGTGGTCTTTCTGTTTCTTTGTGCTAATTTCAGCTATTTTAGTTTTTAGCTGTAATAAACTTGTATCATTTCTGCTGTTTCTACATATTAAAACAACAAGTGTAGGTTTTATTTTGGGTTTAGATATCTCAATCAAAAATCAAATTGGATTTTTGATTAGTTTGATTTGAACACAGAAAACCAAAAACAGTTGTTTGAATTTTTGTGTTTTATTTTGAAATGGAAAACCCAAAGCAGCAGTGAACACACACTGTCCAGCCTGGACCGTACAGAGATATGAATCCTTCAGTTTTTATATTTTAGTATTTTCGATGGTGGCTGTAGTGTTTGGATTTGTCTGCTGATGTCTGTCTCATTTCTGAAACACTTGTTTCAGTGTTTGTTGTTTGTTCTGCTGAAGTCACACAGCCGGAATTAACTACAGAAGGAGAAATGATTTCTTCTCATCAAATGTAAAAAAGCCCAGTTCTGGTCCGAGGCTCAGATACAGCCAGTCAGAGTCTGAGTGTTTTCCACTTTCTTCTCTCTCTCCATGGAAAAGTGTTTAACCTACATTGGGTTTGTTTGGGGAAAATGTGAACAGAAGCAGTCAGARACGTGGCCCGGACCTCTGCAGCTTCAAACAGTGGAAAGTAGCACAGCAAGCTGGCTTCTGGGCCACAAACCCAAAGAGGAGGAGTGAATCAGGAGCAGCATCTGAAAGTGGGTCTGCTGAGCCCACAGAGTCCTGGATGTGGCATCTGTCTCCGCCAACGCTTTAAACAGCCCAGAACCAGTGGAACCAGTGGACTGGGCCGGCAGCTGCACATCACACGCTTCCAGAGTTTTTCCACCTCTAGTTTCTGTCAGAAACTCTGAAGGTTTAACAGGATAAAAATACATTTTAAAGTAAAATGAGTTCTGCAGGGAGAGGCTGAGAGACTCGTGAGTTTATTTACATCACTTTAACTGAATCACACACAGATAGATGGAAACAAACAAGAAGTAAAGCAGATGGACTGTGATCAAACATGGAGAGAGTCCTTAAATACGAAGAGATTAAAAAAAACTACAGATATTTTAACAGGAAGTTAAACTCATCTGAAGACATGTCTGTAACACTAATCAGTTCTAGTTTACTGAATGAATAATCTGCATAACAGGAAGCTAAAACATAAAGAAATGATGAGTTTTTTTTTTTACAGAGATCAGCTAAAGCCGTGAAGAGATGAATTAGATGGTTCTGTGAGGAAAGCTTTATTTTATTTCTTGGTTTTCATGTGAGGAATATTAGAGGCATCATGAAGTATCTGCTGCTGGTTTAAAGGGATCCATGATTAGTTGTAACATTACACTGAATAAAAAACTTGTAAGATTTACTTGAAAAAAAATCCTCGTAACAATTTGCACTAATGTTTAAGTAAATTTAAATACTACAAATTCATGTAATATTTACTCATCATTATCTAGTAAAAGTCATTAAGAATATAGTTAAAGATTTGTGAATAAATCAGGTAAATTTTACTTAATTTGATCAA